TTAGGGTTCTCTCTATATAGTAACATGTCATCTAAAATAGAGACAGTTTTACTTCTTTCTTTCCAACATGGAAGCCTTTTATTATTGATTGATTGATTGATTGATTGATTGCCTAATTGCTCTGGCTAGGACTTCCAATTCTATGTTGATTAAAAGTGGGGAGAATGGGCATTTTTGCCTTGTTCCTCATTTAGAGGAAGAGTTTTCGGCTTTTCGCCATTGAGTATAATATTAGCTGTGGGCTTGTCATATGTGGCTTTTATGTTGTGTGGTACATTACCTCTATACACACTTTGTTGAGAGTTTTTATTATAAATGGATGTTGAATTTTGTCAAGTGCTGCATCTGCTGAGATGATCATATGATTTTTGTCCTTCATTTTGTTAATGTGGTATGTCACATTGACTGATTTGCTGATTTTGAACCATCCTTGCATCCCTTGAATAAATCCCACTTGTTTGTGGTGTATGATCCTTTTAATGTATTATTGGATTCAACATTTTCCTGGGGAATTTTAATGACTATTCTCTGTAAACTGGGAAGACTTGTGGGAAATTCTGTGGTTAAAAATGGGCTCCCTATTTTAATGGAGACATCAGAATCTTGGGGTTGATAGAGGCTGGATAGCAGCACTTTGCAGCAATTAACAACTAGAGACACAACGGAAACAGTATCATAATAGGAAGCTGGTTCACTGTAATCATCGTAGTTTGGCCTACCAAAATCTTTGGTGGTGGCTGGTAAATCATTGGGCCTCATAGCCTGAAATGATGTTGAAAAATCTAATTAGGACAGCACAGATACTGACCAAGAAAAATGAGTGCCAGTGTATAATACAACTGATATAACCACACCAGTGTATAGCAGCTAAATATTAGCTGGACTTAGGACCAAATATATGGGCAACTCAATGTAGGCCCTACTTGGTATGCGTAACAGCAACAGTATGAAAAACTTGACTAGAGCCACCAATATAGAGTGTCAAGGCGTTCATGAAATTGTCATGCATAGATATGGATGAAAGGCCCTAAGGTGATGAACTCTGTAATATCCAGAATCTTTCTTTGAGTTTCCATTTACTAGAATAACAATTCATTGCAGAAAGGAGACTACTAGGCCTTCTGGAAATCACCTGGCAACAGAACTCTGAACGAATACAAATTTCTAGGGTCTCAGAAATTATTGCGGTCTATAAGACTAAGTGTACCCTTAGGACTAAGTGTATGTAGGAACAAATCCACCCTCTAGTCATTTTCTTAATGAAGAGTTAGAATTGATTTCTTCATCATCTATCACCACATTGGATCCCTGATAACACACAAAAAAGGGTTATTCTGGCAGGAAGTACCCATTGATTTGCAGAGGTAAGTCCCACCATCAAAAGGTTTAAAGGAAGCTTTAAAAGCTTTAAAAGATGTGATTCTTATCACATCTTGACTATGATCTTTGGATCACCCTAACTTAATCAGATGGTGATTCCAACTGCACCTGACAGACAAGTTCTCTTTCTTGGAGCAGATCAGTGAGTAGCTACTGATCAGGCCAATGCTTTTTTGTTTTTCCTATATTCTAGTAAGTAGAGGGCCCTTGAAGCAGTTTGTGCTACCAATAAACAACATTACTCTCTGACTCTGTGCCAGAATATAACTCTTGACCTTGATCATCTCACCATTATACAGGGCATCACATTGGTCTAACACCTTGATGATGATATGTTCATAGGACCTGGAGCATGGGCATCATTGGATTTCCTGAATAGCGGCTAAGACCTCATGAAAGCACAAGAGCCTGCCGCCTTAGCCAAGTTTGTGGAGGTCCAATGTCTGATGCACGTTAGGATGTTACTTCCATAATGATTAACTAATTGTGTGCCTTGCTCCACCTGTGACTAAGAGGTCCCTCTGTGTTTGCGGGGCTTCTTTGAATTTTCTGTCCACTGCTCAAACCCACTTATGAGTTGATCCAAATGCTTCTGGCTTTAACTGGGCTCAGAAAAAGGCTGCTTTAGCTGATCCAGGCTGCAGTGAAAGTAGTTTTACCATGTAGACCTTATGAGGGAGACGCAATGGGCTCAGAGTTTTGAGGCAAGTCAGGATTCTGTATAAAATAAGGATTTTTTAGTAAACCATGCCATCTTCTGAAAATACCTATTCTTTCAACTTACCACTGGGCTACATGAGATGAAAGCAAATGAAGGAAAATTGTCCTGAACAAGGATTCTGTGAAGACCTCAGATAGACTCCCTCAGGCCTTCACAAGTTCTCTGAATAGATGGTTGGCATTTAACAGTCATATATGGAAACTCAAATTCACAGGCAACATACATCTGATTTAATATAGGGATGGTTTAGAGATACTGTATTATGCCCATCAACTCATCTGGCCCACTCCTCAATCCACTATGCAAGTATCCTCAGCCCTTAGCCCAACATATAATAGACCAATAAGGAATGAGAAGCAGAGAACATACTTGAAGAAAGGCTGATTTAATCCAGTGAGTTTTAAAAAGACACTGCAATATTTAGAAAGACCATTCTTTTCAGATAACCGTTAAAAAAATATAATGTATATAGTATCAGGATTCTTAAATTCCAAGCAATAGAGACTGATTCTGTGACTTTCAAGGAAAAAAAAGGCAGATGTTGAACAACTGAGCATTCGGTAGGCCAGAAATGAAGGTGGCACTATGGATTTAAGCAGCAAGAGCTCAAAACCATCTCTCTGGAAGGCTGCCAGAGGGTGACTTGAGTCCGGTCACTTCTCCCAAAACATACAGAGAAAGGGCAGTTCCTCGGAGTAAGTGTTGTGTGTGTGCTGGGGAGTGGGGGCTGTATGTGGGAGAGGTGCTGGGGAGGCGGGTGGTCTGTGTTTCTATCACGTTGAGCAAAGAAAACTAGCAGTCTACATACAAAACTGAGCTTTGAATTATCTTATATATATATATATATACACATACATTTTTATAAAACTCACACTTTTCCTGTAATTAATGTCTATTGTTAGTGTTTCTGATAGGAAAAAGTATTGCTACATGCTAATACTGAGCATGTAAAAATAGGTTCTGAAAAAATTATCACCAGAAATAGCTCCAGAAGCAGTAAAGAGTTCATAAGTTACTCCTTTTGTTTATTGAATTATATGAATAATCTATTTTTGTTCCATATTGTAGTTCTTTAAGCTTCTTTATCTTTCCATCACTATTTCTAATGTAATCATAGAAAAAAACCATTGATGAGAGGTTTAGGCATAGATTAGGTGGAAGGCACCTAATGTGAGAAAAAAAGTTAATAGAGTCACATCTGCTTAGGGCCTAAGAACTTCTAAATACTAATTATACTTTATTGACGGTCTTGGGGAGATTACATGGGATACATGTTGTTTTCAGTCCTGATAAAGATTGAGAAATGAGCCTTTGGGAATGTAAGTCCTATTTTTTCCCTTTGTATATAGGTAAAGTGTGAGGCTCTTGCTTGGGTCCCACCCACAACCAAGGCTAGGTTTAAAACATGAATGGGCAAGCTGGATCATCTGGCAAAGACAGACCAGAGCCTTGGTTTGAAGGTCTGAGTTGTGCCCTGAAAAGAAACTCATTCTGAGCTAAGAGTGTAGGCAGGGCAGAGTGGGCCCAGTTTCAAGGCCTCAAGGTCAAGGGAGTCAGCTTAGTGCAGGGTCTACTGTTCCATTATATCCTTGCCCCAGTTCAAGGACATGTGTCTGCATGCTAGACACAGAAAGTAAAACCAGAATGTACTATTCCATCAAAAATTTTGTAAGCTCCCTGGCACATGCAGCTATGTTTGGCATCTAAGAGAACGTATCACAAAACGGGGAGTGAGGCATTCATTCCCCTCCACGTTACTAAATCTCGGCACGCCACCTTTAGCATCCTGAGGGGCCAGGACATCAGTGGGGTGCCTGAGAGCAGCAGGAGAATGAAATGGTCCCTGAGAAAGGGCAGTAGTAGCTAAAGAGAGACCATGGAAGCCAAAGAAATTTGCAGAGTCTCAGCTCAGGACATCTCTTGACACAGGTGAGACTCCCAGAAATTCTTGGGGAGGGTAAATCCTTTGCAGTGAAACGGCATGGCAAGTGCTGCATAAATAGGGGTTACTGTCATTTAAAAAGTCACATTTTGACAAAGGCTGGTGAAGCTGGGAATCTTCAGATGAGATGGCAGTGACTTCTCACCAAAATGCAGAGCTTGGATCTTTCCCCCAAGGTGACAGTACAGAGCCATCTGTACGACTCGTCCCCAACACTCCTGCCCTACAAAGCAGTATATACTGGCACAGAGGCAAAGGGTGCCAGTACCCATTGGTTGTGGAACATTTTTCTGGCCAAGAAACCGTATCTTTTTTTGTCGGGAAGAACTAAGAATGTTGGTATCCTTTTCCTTAGTATCATAAATCAGCTGGTGAAAACAGCCAAAGAATACATAGCATCATGTGTCATCTTCATTTCCCTTGAGACTTCATTTCTCTGATTCCTCTGCCATTACATTTAGGACCTAGTTCTGCTAAAAGAAAAAACTACAAATAGGCGGTTTAACTTAAAGTAAGAAATGTAGTAAACATGTGCCCTTTGTTCTCGCTTTGAACCTTAGAATTCACTCTTCCAATAACAAAAGAAAATGTGGTATGTCATCGTGTGCTGGTATCATGAAAGACAAAAATGTTATTTATGGGTTCAGAGCTATAACATGACTACTGATACTAATTATGGGCTTTGGACTCCTCTTTAATCATCAGCTTCATTGGTTAAAGTGTTTTTATTAACTTGCAGTTAAATAGTTTTCAGTTAACATAAGAACATAGAGATAACATCACAATTGCATTGTGAAAAGGTAAAAGGCCTTTGTGTCTCATTACCAGGTAAAAAGTCTGGAGCTAGGTGTCTCACAGATGATACTAAACAGCCACTGGCCCTTTTATTTTGGTCTTATTAACAGAAAATACCGACTTAAGTGATGAAATTACACACATAGGCCACTTAATGGCTTCCTAGGAGTCTGAACTTTTGCTTTCAATACCAAATAATATCTGGAAAACATGCTCACTTTTGTGTTTTTTCAGAAATTCTAAGAATTGGCCCAGATTCATGTGATAGTCATTCCTTAATCCATAGTCACCATGGGCCTCCAGGAGTAATTCTTCAAAAGAATGGAAAAGGCGTAGATCCTCTCCATTTCCTTCCGTTTCCACACTTTCAGCATGCTTACAAGAAATGTGTTTCCAGTTGGGATACCTAATTGTGTGCCAGAATTCCTCACAGTGCTCCTTGAAGCCCTCCACACAGATTATACCCGGCTTTCCTGTCATGCAAAACCCAGTCACATCTAACCTTTTCCCAACATCCAAAATCTTTTTTCTTAGGTCCTGCTGATATATGTGGTGGCTGTAGATCCACATCCGGAGGAATGTGTTCTTGACTGGCTTTGCTTGTGTAGACGGTTCATAAACGAGCTTTCTGTTCAGAAAATAGGAGGCACTGTTGTCCTGTAACCACTGGATTGCTGCACATACACAGAGCTCGCCTGGATCAAAAGTCCCTATGTAAGAAGTGAGACCTTTGTTGAGAAGTAGTTGCTGTTGTCTGTCAAGCTCAGGAGACCGTCCAAACAGCTGCAATGCTACATAGGGGTAGCTGTGAGGCATGGTTACTTGCAAATCAATTTTCACCTTAAAATGAAAATCAAATAGATTTAAGTACCGTAAAATCACCTAAGCTGGTTTATCAGTGGCAACTGCATGATTTTGATAAATGTAATAGTTATTGCTACTGTTAAATGTCAGCTATGTGCCAGAGACTCTACCGAGTACTTTATATACACTATTCCTTCCATGTAAGCATCCATTCATCCCAGTATTTACTGAACACTCGCCATGTGTCAGGGAGCTAGACACAACTTCTGCTCTTTGTGAAAAGTAGAGCCTAGTGAAAGAGACAGACATTAAACTAGTAAGTACACAGAACAAGTATTTAATTCCAATGGTAATGTGAAGCATGGAAAAGTGCAGGGTCTGCTGACATGTGTAACCAGGGAGACAGAATTCAGTCTGAGGAACCAGGAGATGTTGTCTGAGGAAATGAGAGCTGAAGGATGTACAGAAAATCGCTAGAAGAGGGGTTCTTAAAAGCCTAGTCCACTTGTTATCTACGCTATGCTAATGTTACTGGAGACAATGGATCAGAAGATGAAGGTAAACTCATTTTTAGTATTTAGATTTCCTATCTGGTATTTGCTTTCTGTGCTATGGTGTCACCAAATAAACATTCATCCATTCCTTACAAGCCAGATTTGCTAAAGGTAAGATTTAGATTTGTCAAAATCATGATATGTCTACAAGACAGTACATACGACAATAGTTGGGTTGGTAAAAAACTGGTCGAGTGAACAGAATAATGATGGTAGTATGAGACTGCAGATGTTTTTAATAAAAACACTAGATATATTTGTTAAAAAGTGTGCGCATTTATGTAAAATCCAAGATATTTATTGAAGACAATTTACAGTGCATCCCATATTTTACATATTTCACTTTCAAACAAGTAAAGGAAATAAGAATCTGGAATATTCTCTATTTGTTTCCTGGACAGAAAGCGCTCCTTCCAAGTGTTTGCAATAAAAGCTGGGCACCCAGCAACAACAAAAGCAACTCAGGGTACCTACCTTGGGCTCCTCAATCTGGAGTGTAATCACAAATTCGATTTTGGGTGGCAGCGCCTCCCTTTTTCCTTCCAAATATCTCTTTATATTCGTCAGGACATTTACATCTTCGAGTTTTACTTCTCCTTGGTTAGGAAACATAGAGAACAGCATTTCCATCTCTAGCAGCTGAAGCTGCAGGCATTCTTTCATTGAAGCGGACATGTTGCCTCCAAATCCACCTGCCAGGAAAACCGGAAAAGCCCAGGGGCACTAGGTTTCTTAATTGCAGCGGCGTCCAAAGAAATTTCCGGAAGCGGTTTTGCAGGAACCTTGTGCACCGACAGCTAGGGGCACAAACCGGGACACTTACACTCCTTCTTCGCTTTATCTCCCGACCCCCCAAATCTAGTATGCATGACATCCCTCCAGAGACTTCGTTAAAATTCAGATTCCCAGTCCGTTACCCACCCACCCCCACCCCCGCTTCCGATCCAGATCCGGGAATTTGGACTTTCAACAAGTGTTCCAAATTATCCCGTTGCAGGTGGTTGGCAAACAACACCTGCAGATGCTCTGCAAGCCTGAATTCTGGTTAAGGCAAGGAGCCCAGTTTCCGAATCCCACCCAGGTCTCAGGCTCAGGCGGAGCTGGGCGCTGTGGCCAGGGAGGCCCGCAGTGCTGGCGGGGCTGTGGTCAACTCCCTTGGCTCCGAGGTCTTGGGGGCCCCGCGGCCCCCAAACGCTAGGTGCCGCCCCTCGGCCCCAGCGCCAAGAACCCCTCCCTAGTGGGCCTTTACGGCTCTTCGGGGAGCCACACCAGCCCCGGGCGGCCCAGATCGCTCCGGACGCTTTGGACCCACCTGGCCTCTGCCCCGAGGGGTCTAGGCTTAGGGGGAGTCTTACAGGTACCTACATAAGATGGTGTTTAGTGCGAGCTGGTGCGGGTAGATGGTGGCGGGGGTGGTGGGGGGAGCGACTCGAGGAGGCTCCCAGAGTCAAAGGCTGGGGAGATGAACCCCGAGAATAGAGGAGGGGATGCGGGAAAAGGGCTTATGGCCGAGGCCACCTTGTCAGAGGCCCCCAATCGGGGTTGGTACCCCCATCTGGGACCACGAGGGACCCTGGCTTCCCAGGAACGCAGGAATGCCACCCCGAAACCCAAATTTGGAGGCGGGGACTGTCGCAGTACTCTGGTGGCCTACGACCCTCGGCCCCAACCCTCGGGCCACCTCGGGGGCCTCACCCTTCCCGGTCATTCAATGGAAACAGACCCAAGCCCTCTCAGAACCGGGATCCGCAGTTCCGCAGGCGCGAGCTGCGCACTACCAGCGAGGAGGAGAGGCGGGTCCAGCGGCCCCTCCCCCGCCGTGATTGGCTGGGGGGCGTGGCGGTGGGACGGAAGTCACGCAGGGCCACGTCTGCGGGTTCCGAGAGCTTCAGTTAGGTTGGAAGCGCCACGGCGGGGGAGCGGCTCGGTTAGGTGGAGGTGAGGGGGAGTCTCCAGCCAGAGGTGAGCGGGGGCCCTTAGGCTTGGCGGCGAGAAGGGGACTTCCCAGTCCGTAGGGGCTCGGCCTGCCGACGGTCTAGTGGGCCAGCTAGCGGGTTGACCCACGGACCGTGCGCCGGACACACCCGCCCAGGCGCCTCCAGAGCGCCCGGAGGGTCTCGTGCCCCTGGGCATTCTGGTCCAGAGGCCTGGGGGGCGGTGCGGCG